GAGAGCTGCAGCTTATAACAGATGCTTTTGAATAAAATTGCTTTCATTGGGCATATTTTTTACAGTAAGAATGATTCAGTATGACTATAAAGTTTGTAAAACAAAGAAATCATTGAATAAGCAAACACAAACTCATTCGTGTATTTTTCACACCAGAGAGAAAGTTAAGCCACTGAGGACTTAACTAGGGGTTTCACATCTGAATCCTCAGGGTTTGTCACATGGCAGGTCTTCAGCTACTATTTGCTGAATGAATGCATCACACCCCCACAGATATGAGTACTGTCCAGTGCTTGCATCTTCTAGCGTGTCCTTCTACCCTCTGAGGTTACAGGTTCTCTAGCTATTCAGCTTCTCCTTTCTCTGTTCAAGAAATGAGACCACATCCACCTGAGGGGTCTTTCCCTTTAGCACCAGTCTATTTCTAATTGTGAGCTGCACTAATATTGTTTTAAAAGTCAATTCCTTCCAGCTCCACAACCCTCTATAATTTCTCATTTTAAACATCCAGAACTACTGACTATGAATCGTCATTTTAACATGATTTCCCCCAATTCATATGAGAAGCACTGGTATAAATAGCATAAACTCCTCTTCTTTGTCCCAGACTGCCTCTTTTCTCCCTCCCTCTGCTGCCTCAACTGACAGATCTTCTAATTGGGCCTGAAAAGATAGCTCGGTGGATGAAGGCACCTGCAGCTGAATCTGACATCCTGACTTGGATAACTGGAGCTCACATTGTAGAGAGAAGCAACTACCCAAAGTTGTCTTCTGACTTCTATGCATGCAGCATGCATGCATACCCACACACATAAATAAATATAACAATAATAAACCTTTTATATTAGAGTTTCCAAGAGTTCATATTTATAAGACAGAAGAAGATGAGAAATTAGTGTCCACTGCTAAGTTAGATCTTTTTCTTTCCAAGTTGTTCTTTCTTTCTCTCACTTCATTGTCTCCCTTGTCCCCTCTCTTCTGAAATCACCCTTTTCATGCTAATTAATATTTTCACATTAAAAAATGGTTATCCAGAGCCAAGTAGAGCCAGCTTCCCCCTGTTTCATTCCTAATCCCCCTGTGATCTCTAAGGTTGTCCCTGGATCAGGAGAATATTTATTTACTGAATACAAGGCATAGACAAGTCCATTCAATGATTTTTTAAAATCATTTCTTTACTCAGGACAATTAAACATGGAGATATGGAAAATGAGATGTGGAGCCAAGGGTCCATCAGTCTTCTCAATACCTATAAAGGTGGCAGCTTTACAAGGACATTTTAAATGCTTGTCACCAACACCTATTGCATTGCATTTCCCTTCTAATTGAAATACTCCTCGAGTTAGGCTCATCAAGACTCAGAAAGTAGTTGCAACTTCTAAGCCTCAGAAAGAAAGCAATTTAAAATTTGAAAAGCTCTTGAAACAGAGTACCTCACCAAAATTACGTAAGCAGTAGCTGTTGGTCTTTCATAAAGTTGGTTTTTGGCTTTTCAGGCAGTGTGAGGTGTGTGCTCCCTCTCCTGGCATGGGCCTCAAGTTGTACCAGTCATTGGTTTGCCACTCCCACAAGTTTTGTGCTCTCTTTACCTCAGCACATTTTGTAGGCACAAGAAATTATAGGTTAAATGTCTTGTGGCTGGGCTAATGTCCCAATCCCTGCACAGGAGGCCATGCCTGACTACAGGAGATGGCCAGTCCACTTTATTCTTAAGGGGTGAAAACAGCCCCAAAGAAGATGAAGAGATTTGCTCAGTGGCAGAACACATAGATATTTTTTTTTTTCCTCCTGACAAATGATACTCAAGTTTTTAATGTTTCCCAAGAGGCAAATTCCCAATGATCAATCAAGTTTTTTAATGTTTCCCAAGAAACAAATTGAAAGTCTTAAATTAGGCTTGAATAATCTGGAAATATTGCCCAGATATAATAATATAATGCTGACTTGGGACTAGCATCCCAGGATGCTAAGTGATTGCCCAACCCAGGTAAAGCATCTTGATGAATTACACCCTCGGTATTGGTGAGAGCAAGCTGTTGCCAGGAGGCCACTTAATCTAAAGATAGACAAAGAGATCGGGGAAGGGAGCTGTGAACCTGCAGTGTTGTCATTTAAGAGTAAAGCATTTCAGTGTTAAGTGAGTTTTCCTCCACTCTTCTTATAAGACAAATAAAGAAACTATAGTTGTGGAAATGTCATTTTTATGCTTTGTATTTCTACCTAGATCCATTTCTTTCTTTTTTCCTTCCTACCCCACTTTCTTGCTTTCTTCCTTTTTTTTTCAGATAGTTTCTTTCATGCTTGTATGTTTCTAACCATCTTTTATTTCCTTCTCTCACCTGCGAACTTTTCTTTCCAACAAGTCCCCCTCCTATGTCCACAAATTTTTAATGTGTGATACACTGACTTTAATTGAGTTAACTGCATTAGCATGTAAGAGAGGTTTCTTACTGGAGTATAGACCACTTCTCAGTGACTACACCACTCAAGTATGACTGGGCATTTTTGTCTCAGCTGGGAACATCTTTGGTTTAACCTGAAACTGACCTCCTCTTTTCTACCACTGTCATGAACTTGGGCAAGTACTCAACCCTGTTCTAGAAAACTTGGGGTCACAACGCCACAGCTAACAGAATGTTTTGTCTTCTGTTAAACTGTTTTCTTGTTTGCTTGCTTTATGTCCTCTTGCGACTACCATCCAGGATATAGTCTTTCTTTGTTCTTTGCCTTTTAAAGCTATTTGTAAGATGTCTCACAGAGCCTTCTCTGTGAGACATTTCTCTCTCTAAGTAGTCCAAACCAGACTGTCAATTCAAATTTTGGTAATGCCCAGTAATCTCAGGGTTTCTATCTTGCAGAGAACATAACATGACTCTCTTTCCCCAGCATTCATTCACTGCCAACAGTCCCTCAGGTAGAGGTGGGGCATAGTCTATGATGAAATATTAGTGGTCAGTACCATACGCAGGTCTTAGGCAGCAATCCATCCTTAAGTGTAATAATTACATGGATGCATCACTACAGTGAGTTTGTCAGTGCAACAGCCATGTCCTATCCAGAAGCCATCTTTTTCTAATATACTTATGTATCTTCTAGCTCTTTTATTCTTTATACCCCTTCTTCCACAGTGTTACCTGAGTCTTGGAGATGTGATAAAGTTAAGCTATTTATGGACAAGCACTGCCATAAACCCTGTCTCTTAGTCTCATCTCAACATTAACTGCTTTCCAGTGTAATAACTTTTCTTTCTTTCTGTTGTTGTTTTTGCTACAAAGTCTCTCACTGTGAGACTAGGCTGACCTTGGAATGAAAATATTCCTGCCTCAGCCTCCTGAGGGCTGGGATTACAAACATGCACTGCCATGTCTAGTTTAATAAGGTTCTTATGAAAAATTTTTTCCACCTAAATACAAAGTGATTATTAGATATGCCTTTGTCTATTAGCATTGACTAGCATATTATTGGCATTTACATAGTATTTGTCATATTCAAAATCCCTTTGATAGAACACTATTAAGGATATAAGTCCTCCTGGATCTCTGTTTTCTTGAATGGCTTAACTGTGGGCAGATAATTATTCTTTTTCTTAAGTTCATCTCTGGGTAAGCAGCTGCAACCAGAAAAGAGTATTATTGAGCTTACTGGGCACTGTGACCTCTCATCTTAATCCTCTTTTCTTTGCTTGTCACTGATAAGCCCTGCTCTGCACTGCAGCAACCGCTGAAAGCTGAAGCAGGTGATACTCAGGAAAAAAGTCACTCACTTGTTCCTAACCTTGATAAGTTCACTTTAGTTTTGATCATAGGAATATCTCGTGGCACACAAACATACACAAAAGAATTATGATAAATATGACTTACAGGCATCTTAAAAAGTAAAAGCATGAGCAAGAAAATAATTGAATTTGTTTTGTCCAAAGAAACAAAGTGATTTAGGAAACATTTGACCTGATTCAACTTTAACTGGGAGTGAATGTTGTGGTAAGGTGATGGGGGTAAATACCAGAGTCCTAGTAAGTAGCTTTAGGCTAAGGAAAGTGATTCACAAGTTAAGCTCATCACACTTGGAATTTATCAGACTGCTTTTTTTTTTCTTTTTTTTTTTTTTTTTTTTAGATTAAATAACATTTTGCCACTCATGCACAGGAAACCTGGGATAGGAGATCCAACAGCAACAAAGAGAACAAAAAAAATAATTGTGTTTATAAAGTTGAGAGGTAGGAATCCATGAGTTTAGATGGAAAGAGGTCTCTGATTTTAGAGAAAAGGGCGTCTCTAACTTTAGTAGTTGAGTGAGGAGCTAGAAAGTGTATAATGTTACAGTTGAGAAAATAATCCTACGGTCCCACCCAAATTTAGTGTTGTCAAATGACAGGAGCATAGCCTCTGGGAGAAGGTACTAATTAAAAAGTGAGGGACAACTGAGCCTTCCACACAACTTCTGCATTCGGTTATTCCAGCTTTCTGCTCTCATACAAACACAGGCACACAGACACGCACGCACACGTACGCACACACACACACACACAACCACTTCATTGAACAAGAACTAGAGACAAGTTGAAAACACGAGAGTTGGGGGCATCGTTCATGGTCCCACTTATTAGGAAGAGGCATAGATTTGAAGCAATTTAGAAGACTCATGTGTAAGAAAGCCTCATTGAAATTCAAATTTTATACTACGTAATAAATTTGTTGAATTTCATTTGGGCAAATTGCAAAAAAAAAAAAAAGTGGAAGTTTTGTCTGTTTTACAAAACAGATTCTCACAGATGACATTAACTCATAATCAACCAACGAATTCTCTTTTCATCCCCCTCCACAAAGGAGCCTGCTCCTTGGACATTATCTTTCTAGATGGACATCCAACTTCATCATGGCATGCAGAAACACTGTGGGATAAACAACAGCTCAAGAGAGAAGCTGGAACTGAAACATTCCAGGTTTTAAGCTTTCTTATCATTCATCACAGACAGGTGCAAATCTGGATCTCATACTCACTGCGTTAAAATTGGGAAACAGGTTGACTGCTGCTGCAGTGTCAATAGGAAAGGGAAGAAAGGGCTTAATATCCAATGATGGCTGCAAAGGAGGGGCTGGTGGTCGGCCCAGGGAGGGGAGAGCAGGACTCTGGCATGTACCACCTGTAGAGACAAGAGCAAAGGGAATGATCAGGAATATCTAGCACCCAAAAGAGAACACTGTGATCTTCTGGGAGGTGGGAAAGACACACAGTCTAATCACATCAGCTAGGATTTGGCCAGTGAGTAGCTTTGCTGTTGGACAACCAGAAACAGGTGAACAGCTTCTTTGCCTGGGACTGTTGTTATATGATTATGTAAGAATCACTCAACATTTCACTCTCCACAACTTGTTTTTGTTTTGCTGCCTGGAACTCGGGTACTCAGTACCAGTCAGCCATGCATCACTAACAAAGCTCTCCAGAGTCTAAGGGAAACCCCCTACAAACCCACATTGCTCTCCCATTTCTCATTGCACACTAACCTGCTCAGCATATGCTTCAAGTCTGAGTGACGATTTTGCAGTACGGCTCTTTTCACCAACTCAGAACTCTGGCAGAATAATGACATGAAACTGAACCATAAGCCTTACCTCACTGCCCTGGCAACAAGAGGATTAAAAAAGGCAGCAAACCCAGCATTACAAGTCCTACAGCCCTGAGCTGTTCAGCACCATGGAGCTTTGACAATTCAACAACTGCCTGTCTCCACCCCAGTCAAAAGTGGGAGGAATTTAGAAAGGCACCAATGAGCAGGCAAGGAGAATATTACACCAACAAAGATCCCCCTCTGCACAGCAGTGTGCAGGCAGCTGGTTGCAAGGAGCACACAGTTCTGGCCCCTCTTTTCAGACTAACTGCATTTAAAGCTGCAAGGACAGAAGCATAGCCTCAGTGTTCTGTCTCTCATATTTGATAACATTCCAAAACATCAATTTTCTGTTAATTAAAGGCTGTTTGAATCCTAGGAAACTATTAAAATATGCTAGCTTTCTTCTAATCTGAGAGGCATGCAACAGACTGTAAAAACCTGCTGGTGAGAAGCCAAGAAGCATTAGAAAAACAACACGCAGTGAGATATTTCTTGACTCATGGAAAAGAATTCTCAGAGACAGAAAGCAGTAGGCAAGGGCATGCTGTGCCACTTACTTTCAAACTTTCCCAGTTTGAGAGCAGACTAGACCACAGCCCCAAGTACATCATCTTCACAGATCCCACACCCTGTGGCCTTTGTCCTACCCTCTAAATTCTATCTGGTATAGTTCTGCTAAAAAGAAGAAAATTTTAATACCAGAAAGTCAAGCCATATGCACAGGACTTAAAAACTCCGAAGTTTAAAATCTGCTTGAGCCTAATGAACACAATCATAATATTTTTTGTTCCAGTTTGAACTTTCCCCTTGAAATATTCCCCAAGAACAAGTCCAACAAAGTTCAAAGAAGCACAGCAAACTCTTTGTTTTGTTTGAGTAAAATATAGGCCAAGGAATAGAGGACAGATGTTAAAGCAAAGAAAGATAAAAGCAATATATGGCAAGTCTATTTCCACGAAGACACACCATAAACTCATTTTATTATCCACCTGGTAGTAGATTGAGTGTGGGTGGATAACCATTTCTAGAGAAGCAGTCCATAAAATTTCTGTGAAAAGCCTGTCATGAGTTTTGTATTGCTAAAAGTTTCCTTTTAAATAAAAAGTTGAAGAACTCAAAGTTTTAGTTGACACCGCTTCAGAAAACAGAGAGGTAAAATGTGGCTAAAGTCTGTTTAAAGTATCCACAACTAATATTGAGCTTCAACATTTTTAAATTTTACTTCTGGAAGATATTAATATAGTTCTGTTATCCTCAGTAGTATGTTTGATCTTAAAATTCCTCAAATATTTAAATACTGACATCATATTGTGTTAAAACATCATAACAAGTTATAACTTCAGTAGCTATTTGCTTCCACAGACCCCTTCCACACTCATAATTACAAGAATTTATAGCAGGCTGAATTTCTGAAGTTATATTTATTTGAAGTTATATTTTTTAAGTTCTTTGTTTCATGATTCAGGAGAAGTTGATGAATAGATTACTCTTAATCTAGCATGGTATGAGGTACAAACAATAAAGAATATGTTGTTTTGTTTCCAGGTAAGTATATATACCAGGTACATATTTGATTTATATCTGTGCATACAATTCAGGAACTTATACCAAATAGAATTTCTTGCACAATACATGAAAAGACCAGATAAGAGTTACAAAAGTTTGAAATGCTGGAAAAACAATGCAGATTCATTTTGTCTCCTCCCACTTTCATAAAGAGAGAAACATGCAGGACCACAGACAATCAGGAACCTGGGACAGTATGTTATTTGCCACTCACTATGAAAGTGCAAATTCAGTGTTATCTTAATTGGCAAATTCTGTGTTGTCAGGGGCTCATTTTATTTATAATCTTTATCCAAAATGTTTTGCTTGTTGAAAGCCTCACTTAAGGACATATTAATATACTTAAGACAGCAACTCAGTGTTTGTATAAAGTAGAGCTTCATAGTTGCATAAGAGTATGTTTTTTGTTGTAACTATGCTATACAGATGGACACATTGGTGTGTCTCCACAATGTCAGAGCTCATTGATCAACAATAATTCATAAACTCTGTTGATTTTGTTGGCTGTTATTTTCCAGGCGATCTCAATTTCCCTTGGTATATAGATTGACAATCCTGGGTTCTTTTATTCCAAGCTTCGTTATATTTACTCATAAATCATATATTACATATCAGATGGTACTTATAAACATATATGAATATATGTGTGTGTGTGTGTGTGTGTGTGCTATAAACTAAATAGAAAAGTGGTAAGAAGGCTGAAGTCGAATTCACAGAGTCTAAAGGCATCTTGCTAGAGGCAGACACTGAGGCAGGAAGCTGATACCATACAGAGTCTTCTTGGAGGTTAAATAGAAATGATGTTAGAGTTGCTGGAGAAGCATGGGTGAGGCCACAGAGCTGGTACTGGGCTAAGCTTCAGAGGTAGATTGCGAGAACATGAGGCCTGTGAGGAAAGGTACAGGAGCATATCCAGATGGGTCAATAAGTGGAGAGATGTTTGAGTGGATGGATCAGTTGCAACTAAAGAGGGACTGTGTCAGCAGTAGACACTGAGATGAGCTGAAGTCCAAGGGCCATTTAGAAGTTTTCTCTTAAGGTATTACATCCAGGGTGGTCACATAAGTCAATGAAGCCAACCCCACTGCAGTATTAAATGGAGTCTGGTTAATGAGATGCAGGTGACAGTGTTGTTATCTGACATAACAAATAAAAGCTTGGACCTGACTTTATTGTTATAGTTGCACATGTTCCAATGTTCACCTGGTCCTAATAAGTTTTTAAGGGTGGTATCATTTTACTTTTAGATATAATATCCTGTCAGTCTGTGAGTCATTGGTAGTGCATGACAGGTGTTATGTGATAAGCATATGACAAAGTTCAGAGTTGCCCTGCTTTTAATTTGCACTCAATAGAGTGTCAAATATTGTTGTGAAAGAGAGTCACCCACTGTAAAAAATCAATTACTATTTTTGAAAACTGTAGAAGAATGGAATACTGTCTTTGCAGAGGACAGAACTTGCTCCATGTGGAGTTCATGACTATGTCTGACAACTTAAAATTAATCTCAGTCTTAACTTTCTTCCATAATATTATAAATACTTCCATCTATCATTTTATAAATACTTGCTTTTATTCTTTATCTGGGCCTTTCCTCACCCTTGCTGGAGTCGTTCATTCAAGCCCACATGATTTCTTCTCCATGCTAATGCATTGTGGCTTCCTCCTTCTTCCTCTCTTTCTCTGTCTTTGTCTCCCTTGGTCCTCTCTCTCTTCCGAAGTCCAGAAACTTTAGCCACACCTACTCCATTCTGCTCTGCCCAGGTATAGCCTATTTAATCAATCAATCAATCAATCAATCAATCAAGTAAATATATCTTAGGCAAGTTTACAAAACAAAGATATGTGTAACCAGATCTTAAGGGCCAATAACAGGCACCAGACCAACCCTCCAACAGGTATGTATGTATACAGTTTTAGAAAATAACGTAAGTTTCTGACTTTTGGGAAAAATATATCTCATATTATCTAGTCAAATTCATCTATAGTAAAGTACATGAATATATGTACATATGTGTATATATCCACATTTTTACATGTGTATTTAAAATATTTACTTATATATATTAATCACTGATAACTTGGAGCATGTTTAATTAGATGGGAGAGATAACTTTCAGACTTTTATTTTATGGTTGGGTAACTACAGGCAACAACAATATATTGGGTATTTCAGAAAAGCTAGAAGAGGGAAGGGTAAATAGAATTGGTTTTACTCAGTGGCTGGCTCTTTGACCTCCCCACCCCCCAAGGGAGAAACAGTCCTGTTAGGCCACAGAGGAGGACTTTGCAGACCTGATAAAACAGGGTCAGATAAATGGGGAGGAGGTCCCCCCCCATCAGTGGACTTGGAAAGGGGAAGGGCGAAGAGGAAGGAGGGAGGGTGGGATTGGGAGGGAATGATGGAGCAGGATACAGCTGGGATACAGAGTTAGTAAAATGTAACAAATAAGAAAAAAATAAAAATTAAAAAAAAGAATTGGTTTTTACAGATGGACTGGGGCAGGGAGAATGAGAATGGAAGGGTGGGGTGATCAATAGAAGAAAAGAGTATTGGTACAGACAACTGAAATTGAGGAGAAATTCAGCAATGTAGAAACCTAGGGTAGTGAAACTCCCTGGAATCTATAAGAGTGACCCTAGTAGCAGGAACCAACCCTCTTCCATAATCAGGCAAGGCTTGCAGCAGTGAGATTGGGATACCAACCCAGCCACAAAACTTTCAACCTACAATATGTCCTTCCTGCAGTATGTACTGAGGCAATGGTGGCAATGACTGGTCCAATTTGAGGTCCGTACAGCAAGAGGGAGCCTATGAATGTCACTTATTGGATGGCCAGCAATCAGAGGCTAGGCAGCCCAGAGTCCCAGGTTAGAACCAAATACAACAGGCATAAAAAAGAAAAAGTCAATGAAATGATTAATATAAATTGATGCCTAGCTTAATTGTCATCAAAAAGTCATTG